CACCCTCATGTCGTTCCAAACCCGTAAGACATTCGTTCATCTTCGGAACACAAATTATGATATTTTTGATGAAATGTGAGAGCTCTCAGACCCTGCATAGACAGCAACACATCTGAAATATTCCCAGACAGAAACATAGTAAGGACATCGGTAAAAGAGTCCATGTGACATCAGTGGCTCAACTTCAGTTTTGCAAAGCTACGAGAATACTTCTTGAGCGCAAAGAAAACAAAAATAACATAATTTATTCAACAATTCCAAAATGGCAGAAGACGTAACTCGGGGGAGAAGAATTGTTGGGGCACTAGTTTTGACACTTCAGTTTGCTGGGGGGATGTTAAATGTTTAGTGTCCTGAAACATTTGCAGAAAACTTGTAACATTTTGCTGGAAGGAGCTCTTACTCTCTGTGGGAATATTTCTACAAATGATTGTAGAAGCAGACAAATTGTCGGACGCGTTCGAGAGAGGTTCACTGATTGACTGATAGTTTTGATGCAACTGTCCGATCTGATTCAGTCTGATACGGTGAACCGGTTGAAAGATTCACAGAAAAGAACTGTTCAAAATAACAATATGTTTACAGACTGGACATCACTGCTCCAGTGGCTTGAGACAGACCTTCTCCTGAAATGTACACATTATTTGTCTGTTTTGTTCTTTACATCCCAGCCTGGAACCCCATTCACTGCCAACACCTCGAGTGTCAGAACTCTATTAATAAGCCAGCGGTGAAGGTACTGTAACTCTTTACCTCTGATTTTGTTTTTTATACTTATTTGCTTTGACATCTAGTCAAAATGTTGTAGATTTTGTGGGATTGTGGGATTTTTAGGGAGCACACATTTCAGTGCACTGAAAGGATTTTGCGATTGAGACAAGAACTTCAAAGCATATAAATGCCCAGAATCATTTCAAAAATACACCCCAGGTACTGATTTATTGTCTTTATCCCTGCAAATATTTGCTCTGTGTAATAAAACATAGAAACAGAGCAAGAAGAGACATACTGTAACTCAACCCTGTTACCACTCTAGTCAAACACTGAGATACTGAGACCAGTGCATGCACTATATGGGGTTTATTTTAGAAGATATTAAAAACCAACAGTTTGTTGTCAGATCTAGTGAGGCTGTCAGAGAGGTAAAAAGAATCATTATAATTATTATGACATGTCAGGTCAAGTCAAAGCTGCTTTACAGTGTCAAACAGGAAAATGGTTTGTCAATAATGCCAGAAGACAATAACAGAGTAATTTTCCAGCTACAGTCAGCTCATTGATGATTCAGTGATGTCATCATCCAGTTCAGCTCTCGTCCAATAGCGTCTGTGCAATAATCCAAAATGATGGTTTGTCCTGAGATACTTATAATACTGTGATGCTTACGATCACTTGACTCAAGCAATATCTCATTTACACAACACTAAAATTGAGAAAAAGATAAAGAAAGGGAAAAAAGATAGACAAAGTAAAATAGTTATGCAAAATATCCTAAACATAACTCTTGTACTTTTAGTAGTGTTTTTGTACTTTTTGAGCAATAAGACACACGTTTTGAGAGTGGTGAGTGTTTGAGGGTCCAGTGGTTGTGTGATTGTGACAGTGTGTCTCCGTCCTGCTTTCAGATGTGCATTGATCCAACACTCTCGGTCGCGCTGGGTGACAAACCTCCACCGTTATACATCTGTGAGGAGTGCAGCCAGAGGATCGCTGGGTAAGCTGCATTATTTCAGCATGCAGTTCATTGTGTGTCTGCTGCATTACTGCAGTGAATATCCAGAATCATCTGCTCAGCCTTCAACTGCCAATCTCATCTTAAAGGGGTACTTTTAATCTTATAATTGCGTTTAGTGAGGAAAGAAGAATGAAGCCCATGATTTAATTGTGTTTCTGGGTTATTTTACCCATTTTGTTGTTTGTATCTCACTTTGATAAACTTTCTTATTTAAAAAGAAAGAAAGAAAGAAAGAAAGAAAGAAAGAAAGAAAAGAAAAGCCTATGGCTCCCACTGATACACTTTCTGTTGATGTTTAATGATGCTTCAAGTATAATAGTAAATGATAACAGTTGATTGGACAGGGTGACTTTATAATGGTCCAGCAACTCTTGTTTGACTGTGTGTTAACCCAAAGTCATGAAAGTACAGAACTAGATGATTTTTCGTATGATTCTGCATGTCATGATCCCTTTAAATTTGCGCTGTAGACATTTTTATCAGGCTGTGAAAGAGGAGCGGTCTGTCAGCTCATATTAGATGATTAGCATCAGACCTGGAGCTAGAGAAGGATGTTAGTGTTCCTGAGCTTCTGTCATCTTTCACAGCGATCATGCTGAGTGGCTCGTTGATGTGCTTTTACCACAAGGTCAGTGACACATCCTCATTTTAAAACTATAACGGCACACACTCGTGTATTTACTTAAAGGAACAGTTCACCCAAAAATGATCATTCTGTCATCCTTTAAAATAAGGTTCAATTTGATGTGATTAGTTAGTTCATTAGGTACCATGAACTATCAATGGAAAATTGTACAGCATTTATTAATCTAGATTAATGTTAAAATATACATAAATGATTGTTAATTCATGTTTGTTCATAATAATGTAAATTTATACTTGAAATGCTAGAACGTTTTAGCATATGTAGAAAATTACATCTCCCCAGATGAATAAATGCTGTAAAAGGACAATTCATTGTTAGTTCACAGTAAAGCTAACATGTCTTATCTTATTCTTATCTTGTATTATAACAATGCCCCTTATGATTTCATCCTTACAGCTGAAATTTCTGCTATATGTCAGAAGAAGGTAAGCCTGGTGTGTGTGTGTGTGTGTGTGTGTGTGTGTGTGTGTGTGTGTGTGTGTGTGTGTGTGTGTGTGCG